TTTTGGTTTTCGAAATGGTCTTGCTGATGACGCAGGTTACGAGCATTAACGAACAAAGACAGTTGGCAACAATTCAGAACAATCAGGATTCACGATATGGCATTGTGAACTACAAACAATATCAAACACGCGAACCTGTGAACAATACTTTGCTCCGTTGGAGTCAAAATATTGCGGTAGGTAATATGAGTCTGCGTAATTGCTACAATTTTCCTGAAAAACAAGTGAAAGTTGTTCGCATTCCATGATCAGATAAAACTGGTTCTTTGTCTTAGACAAAAGTTATTGGAAATTTGCTGACAACTGACGACAACTCCTTGATGTCTACCGATGAATAGCGACGTAAATTAGACGAAAATATCACCACAGTTCTCGTAGTGTATGCCAGTAAAGCTCTCGTATTACCTGACAAGTATTTTCCCCTCATGTATTATTATTTTGAAAAAGCTTGCAAGTGTGTGCATAGTAGAGCTTATATCTAAAAGTTTAATAATTAATTTTAAATTGCTCTTATGAGTTTCTTGAAGTTTTACTTTGACTGTCATTAGTTATTGTTGAATCTATTACATTCCCAGAAGTCTTGAAAAGGAAGCTTGAATTAAAGTTTGTTTAATTCTAAGTAATATCATACTGCACAAATATAATAGTGGCTGACTGAATTATTTGAAGGAATAACATCCTGATTTTAGTTGTTGGTATGACTTTAAAAATTGAATATGTGTCGTTCAAAGTTTAATGAGTTAGTTTTTTTCGATATGAAATGTTCAATTTTGATTTTGATAATTGGAAGAAAAAAACAATTCATAAGTTATTAAACTGAACCCTTTTAACAAGTTTAAGCATTCATTACAACTGAATGAAAAAAATTCATGAAAAAAGAGAGATATCTGTAAAAAAAGGCTCAAAGATTTTTTATGGTGGACACTTTCTCGATTTGAATCTTTAACAAAAAACAAATTGTGATTAACTAGCCATGTAAGAAACATTTTTGCACAACTTTGCAATGAAAATGCAAATAGAAACTTTAATAGAAACTTTAATTTTGATTAATTGCTGACAGAAAAATTTACATTTTGATCAGAAAAGACTGGAAATTATTTATAGACCTGTAGCATTCTAATGAATAATGTTTAGACTTGTAATTTCAATGGGGTCACTGACTTTTGATGTTTGAGAATTTTATTCATAATTTAACAAAAGCTATCACTACTTAAGAGCACACGCCTTTTACATCACCTCACAACACCAAATCTGACTGTGTATTTCAGAGCTAGAAGATTAAAGAAAGAAAATTTGAAGGAGCAAGGACATCAACATGTGCATTGTGTTCCTATACTTATGCAGGGAGCCAAACCCTGATAGATACCATCTGATCATTGCATCAAACAGAGATGAGTTTTATTTCAGACCAACGGCCAGTGCCAAGTTTTGGAAGGAATATCCAAATATAATTGCAGGTATATTTTGTTGCTGAAACACTCTGACTCTGGCTCTGTCATGATCTATGTCTCTGGAGGCTAGAGGTCCAGCTTGTTTCTCAAGGTTCTCTGTTATCGCATCAAACCCTTGGCAATAGTAGTATTTTCTAAATGTGGGAAAGGCTTCAGACGGATGGAATTTGATTCAACTTTGCCTGTGCAGAAGTTTCTGCTTGTCCCAAATAATATTTTTGATTTAAATTTATAGCTAACTAATGAAGAGGTACTTGTGAATTGTTTCACTGAAAACATTTTATGTTGATTACGACCATGCTTAATCTTTTTACTCTATAAAAATACTCCATAAGAAGTAAGAAAACCTCCCTAGGGAGAATTGATCCAAGCAAACATATAACCTGCATGTCCTTTATAACTCTGCAATCAATGTTGTGGCGAAATTTAACAGATTTTATACAGAAGAAAATTTTTCATGGCAGTAAAATGTTGTAAAAAAATAATCATTCTGCTTTTCTGAGAGATATCCATTATCTTTATACAGTTGTTAGCATTAAATGAAATAGATGTATTAACAAAGTGACTTACTTCTTTTCAGGCATGGATCTTGAGCCAGGGAAAAAAGGTGGAACATGGCTTGGTATAACAACTGATGGTAAATTTGCAGCAGTCACAAACTACAGACAGGCACCAAAATTCATAGATCCCAAAGCAAGAGGAAGAGGCCATCTTGTGCCTGATTTTTTGAAAGGAAGTGGTGATGTTCAGAGTTACCTTGAGGCAGTGGGTAGTGAAGGTGATAAGTACAATGGATTTAATCTTTTGGTGGGGAAGTTGTCCCAGAATGGTGAGACCAAGATTGGATGGTACTGTAATGTTGAAGAAAAACAGGTAACAATGTTGGAACCTGGGATTCATGTGTTATCAAACAAAGTGTTAAACTGTTTCTGGCCCAAAATGGCCTATGGAAGAGAAAGATTTGCTGAAATCCTTGAAGAAACTTCCACGAAAGAAGAGCTTGTTGATAAACTTATGGGCCTGTTGAGTACCAGACAAAGGTTGGTTAATTTACAGTCACTTAAATTTGTATTGCCATCAGTTTTAAGTACATATTATTATACGCCTGGCAGTGCCAATGGGCAAGATAAAGTAGATTCTGTGTTCTGATCGGCTACCTGTGCAGAAAAGATGGGCCCATTTTATGCACCTGGGATTTCCCTCTTTGATCCCATGTCAAAGAAAGAAAGTGAAGTGGACTTACAAAATGTTATGGGTGTATAATTTATTTTTGGATAGAGTAAAGCAAAATAATATGTTCACACCACTTCATTGTAAACTGTGCTCCTTTTTACATTTAGTGACAGGAGAGTCTACTTAATGTCAAAAAAATATTTTTATATGAAGTTCAATGGATGTGTTCCATCCTGGGACATGTGGGTATATCAGTTTTATAATTACATTGGTTATTTTCTAAATGTCTTTTGCTTTTTTAATGATATATCAATATTTCTAAAAGGCATTTCAGCTGTGGTGACAGCAAGAGTTTTTTGGGTCCTCAAGATGAAGGAGGCAATGAAAATCTGATCAATGCCTGTCGAGCAATCTTTGTCAACTGCAAAGAGTTGAAATATGGAACAAGGTACATTTGAGAACTTTTTCATCAAGAAAGAGAGATAAACATTGATTCCCTGTTCCTGATAAGAAGTCAGAATAATAATTGCTAAAACAAGTTTATAACATAGCCGGTAAATTTTTCTAATCAAATTCACTTGCGTGAGCGTGCTTCACATTCCTCAAAAACCTTTTCAGACTTTGGGGCATATTTTCGCCAAACCTAAGGATCCTGTCACGAAAGAACAACGACGAACCGACGCCATTTATTCTATTCCTTGCAATGACTGTGAGAACGAATACATCGGACAGACCAAACGTCAGTTTTGTACACGGTTAAAAGAGCACCAAAAAGCGGTTTTTCTTTGCAAAAAGGAAAATTCAGCTTTATCGGAGCATACGTGCCTAACCAACTATACAATTGGGTGGGATAATTCTACGGCGTTACCACCAGCGCCTTTGTTTGGAGGCTTAGCACATTAACTCCGCCCACGCTCCTTTAAATCGTGACGAGGGCGGTTTGCTTCCTGACGCCTATTTACACCTCGTCAAAAAAAAGGCCGCTAATTAGTGATCATATAAAAGAACCTCTTGTTGCAGCATTTAGATCACCCCTGATGAAGACAATAGACAGGAGTGCCGAAACTTTGGGTCTATGAATTGTAACTTCTTCAGTTACATTCATTAAATCTGCAAACCAGAGTAGCATCAAACTATGCCTGATTGTCCACCTGGTTGCCGTGTGAACTTAAATTTCTCCGCGATTTGTGAATTAGCCAATGAAACAGCATCTTTGTTTTTCTTTTGGATAAGAAAATTTTGTATTCAATCAGAAAGTAAAGTTCACGCATGAATTCATCTGTCAGGTTTTTGACCAATCTAAGACAAGATAGTTTACAGCGTAGCGAAATGTTTTCCTGAAACAAAATTATCAACACGCTGAATCGTAGCAGAGGGAATATCAACCATTTCACAACATTTAAACCATCGGGTTGAAAATGTTATAAAACAATTGGTTCATACGTCAGCTGTGCGTTCATCGAGGTATGAAGCACGCGGGAAGTTTGGAGATCACGAAAGATGCGTAAGAATTGCTCGAGGCGTAGCCGAGAGCAACTCTAGCTTCTTGAGACGTATGAACCAATTGTTAATTTGAGCACACTTACACTAAAGAGTCAGAATTTTTTTACATGCACTTCACTGTTAGTAATGGATCTTTATACAGATTCTGCCATGAATGAAGCTTTAAATCAAATTTCAAGTACCATTTATTTGAATGAAAGTTAAATTACATGATTATGACAGAGTTCCTTTGATAAATATCACCCATAATAAATTTAAACATTAGCAGAAGAAGGGATATTGTAGGACTGGAAAAAACCAAAACATACAATAAATATAGAATAAGAAATCTTATCCCAGCTTTCTTAGTATAGGTTAGATGTTAACCTTGTTGAATTAATTTTTTAGAACCAACACAGTGTTGTTAGTTGATAAAGATGGACATGCTACTTATGTTGAGAGAACCATGGATGAGAATGCCTCTGACCCTGATGAAGCTGACTGGAAAGTAAGCACCTATGAGTTTAAAATTACTGAAAAATCTGGCAACTGTGCAGATAACAAGTCACCTAAGGAGAATCTATCAAATGGAACAAGTGTGCATGTTGAAGGGAGGGAAGAATCTACGCGAAACAATCATGAATTCCTGCCACAAAACCATTCAAAGAAGAAACGATCAGTGAATGAAAACAGTTCACCCGTGGAACCAGCCAGAAAAGTAAAAAAAAATAGCGGTAAAGAATGAACATGTTGTCAAAGGTGGTTTTCTCATATACCTGACAAATTTGTTGAAGTAGTGTCAGTAGCGTATGCTAATATGCAAAGAATATTAACGAGTCTAAATTGAACTCTTAGATTCCACGCTGATGTGCGTCTGTTTAGTATTATATAATAAGCTCAGTTATGCACGCGTTTTGATTGGTT